TTCCTGCTGGAGATGTTGGGGGAGGAGGACCTCGGCACGGCGTGACGCAAGTCGCAACAGAGAGACCACCTTCCAGTGCGGCCATTTTTCTCCCTCTAGGGATGGGGTGTCGAACTCATTTGTGATGGGGGCCGGATCTGACATCAATGATGAGACCTCGTGGGGCTGGGCCACGTGTGTCACAAAAGGGAATGCCAGGTAGAGCGGGGATGCAAACTTTATAAAGGACCCAAACACAAAGGGTTTTGTTTTTTTTAACTTAAAATAAAAACATGCTTAAAACATTTAGCACTCTGCAATGTTTTGTTTATTCAACAGTGTCTGGTGATAACTGACACGTCTCTTGCTCTGAATGATGGCATCAAAATGTCTTTGCTGCTGCAATCCTGAGCATGCTGTTCAGGGGTGTATCTGTAAGCTGCAAACCTACGATGACGCAGCAGCAGCAGCAGAACTGGAAGAAGCAGCAGAAGACAGCCCCTTCCCCTGCAGGCCAGATAGAAGCCCTCGGGGTGGGGGTTGGCCTGATCCGGCCCCCGGGCCGCATGTTTGACACCCTTGCTCCAGGGGAACTGACCTTGGCTGGGTTGCCAGCCTCAAGGTGGGGGCTGGAGATCTCCTGCTGTTATAACTGATCTCCAGGCAACAGAAATCCATTTGTAACCCATGCAGTTTTGTAGCTTTTAATAGCATGCAGGGATCAGGCATGCCTGCTTTTGCCAATAGGTGGTGTGGCAATTAACTCCCTTCCCCCCTTCTGTACTTAGTTAATGAGCATGCTCAGTGCTTGTAGCCTTCCCTAAAGGAAGCTGGGTATTCTCAGCAGCCAGCAGTTCAGCCTGGCCCAGGAAGAGGCAACATCATCAGAAAGGTGGGGAGAGGCCTGTATAGACTTTGCTGTGTTAAGGCCTGCCTTGAATTATTGCAGGTAAATCCTGGAGTCAACTGAGAAGAGCTGCAGCCTCCCAAGTACAGCCTGGAAACCTCATATGCTGTTCCAGTATCTGTGAGCTTACAACATATGGACCTACAATATATGCATTAGCTATGTGCTTAGTATTTTTTCTGTTCGGTGCATCCTTGTGGATGCTGAAGATATCTGAACTCAGTAACATCCTGAAGATTCATTGCTATGAAGTAATAGCAACCAACCAGGAATGAATGATTTATATGAAAACCTCCATGCTTAGTTTATATGAAGAGTTTATTTTAAATGTTAAAGTGCATTGGTTGTATGGCCTCTCTTATGTCTGTGTTTAAGTACATGTGTAGTTGCAGCAGTTACACATTCTTAATAACCATAGGTGGGAGTTCTGCTGTCAAAACCGACTGAACCTGCCCACTCTCCCTACAGATAATTAGGGCCTTAGTGGGTTACACGTTCATGTGGAGAAAATGGCCACTCTGGAAGGTGGACTCTATGGCATTGATGTCCCTCCCCAAACCCCTCCCTCTTCAAATCTCCGGGTATTTCCTAACCCAGAGCTGGCAACACTTTAGCGTCTATTGGTGCTTTTGCACCATGGCAAATCTTATTTCCTGTATGCTTTGGGGACCGCCGGTAATTGTTTATACACATGGTGTGTCCTTCATTTCTTAATTATTGTTCATTACTATAGGAAGCTTTTGGGGGAAGGTATCTGTTTAGTATCTTATTGAACGGGTAAAATTGGATGCTGAAGATATCTGAACTCAGTAATATTCTGAAGATTCATTGCTATGAAGTAATAGCAACCAACCAGGAATGAATGATTTATATCACATGGTGTGTCCTTCATTTCTTAATTATTGTTCATTACTATAGGAAGCTTTTGGGGGAAGGTATCTGTTTAGTATCTTATTGAACGGGTAAAATTGGATGCTGAAGATATCTGAACTCAGTAATATTCTGAAGATTCATTGCTATGAAGTAATAGCAACCAACCAGGAATGAATGATTTATATCACATGGTGTGTCCTTCATTTCTTAATTATTGTTCATTACTATAGGAAGCTTTTGGGGGAAGGTATCTGTTTAGTATCTTATTGAACTGGTAAAATTCACTTGAGGGGGTGCGGTGGCTCAAGTGGTTAAGACGGTGAACTGCAGGCTTGGAAGGTCGGTAGTGCAGCAGTTTGAGACCCGAGTGCCACATGACAGAGAGAGCTCCCGTCTCCGGCCCCGTCTCCTGCCAAACTAGCAGTTCAAAAGCAAGAAATTGCAAGTAGATAAATAGGTCCCACTTCGGTGGGAAGGTAACAGCGTTCGCTGCCCCCAGTGACACAAGGCCTCTAAGCAGCATGTTGCGAGGCAAGATGGTCGCCTTTCCTGAGTTCACTGTTCAGGGAAGGTGCCAGTTTGGAATCACAAACCCTGCAGCGGCTGGGGCACAGCCCTGAACCCCAAAGCTATGCCAGGCAAGACATGGGAAAGCAGAAGACAGCCTCGGGGTGATATGAAGCAACAGTTCTGACAGGCTTCTGAATTCGAAATCGAAGCAGAAATGCAAATCTGGTACTTCAGTGCACACTGTAAGAACATCAGAAGGGCCCTGCTGGGTCAGACCAGTGAAGGTCCATCTAGTCCAGCCTTCTGTCTCACACAGGGGCCGACCAGTTCCCCTGGAAGGACCACAACAGGGCAGAGAGGCTGAGGCCTTCCCCTGATAAGAACCTCAGAAGAGCCCTGGTGGATCAGACCAGGGAGGGTCCCTCTAGTCCAGCCTCCCGTCTCACACAGTGGCCAACCAGTTCCTCTGGAGGGCCAACAACAGGGCAGAGAGGCCGAGGCCTTCCCCTGAGAAGAACCTCAAAAGAGCCCTGCTGGATCAGATCAGGGAGGGGTCCATCTAGTCCAGCATCCCGCCTCACACAGTGGCCAACCAGTTCTTCCGGAGGGCCAACAGGGCAGAGAGGCCGAGGCCTGCCCCTCATGTTGCCTCCTGACACAGATATTCAATGGCTGACTGCCTCTGAATGTGCAGGTTCCCCTCAGTCACCATGGCTAGTAGCCACTGACAGACCTGAATCAGCCTCATCCCGTTAAAGCTGTCTCTGCCTGTGGCCGTCACTACCTTATCGGGCAGCGAATTCCACGTTTCCTTTCATCCCTCCCAGCTTCCAGCTCCTCCCAAATTCCTTCACTTTTTGTGGAAGGTGTTGTGCCCACTTGGGCTCATAGCTGGCACACCAAGTCAGATCACTGCCAACTTCTTTGCAACCTCTGGCTGACCAGAGTTTGAATCATTGTAAGCAGAGAGAGACCCGCTAACTGAAGGCGCAGTTGCTCCCGTCCTCCTCGGAGAGCTAAGGGAGGAAGGGAAGATGGCAGAAGGCCCTGTTCTGCCTGGCATTGGTTTTGCCAGCAAACAACGAGAACCAAGCAATACAAGTATGACGGGAGATGGAGTGAGAACTCTTAAGAGAGAAAGCCACATCCTAACTGTATGGGGCCCCAGATATTTCCAAAAAAACATGGCCTTGCTGCAAGCAAGCCGTTTGCTTTTCCCTCCTGCTGGGGAAGGCAATGAATGATGCAGCTTAGCTAATGCTGTGAGCGCTGGTCGAGCAGCTTGCAGTCGCTCCCAGAAATCAGCATGGCATTTCGTTGACTTAGAAGAAGGACCTGTGGTCTCACCTGGGCACGTGTGGAACAGCAAAAACAGAAGCGAGAGCCATGGGAAGGGGTTACATTGTTCCTAGCAGTTTTTCCCTTTGCTGTATTTACAAAACCTTACCTCCTTTCCCAGAAAAATCGGAACATATCAAAATATGCAGAAAGAGGCTAATTTCTCATCTGCAGTGCAAAGTATCCCAATCTGCACAACACAGTCCCATCAATGGAATGTGCTTGATCCAATCAGAATTCCTGGGCCTTGGCTTGGCAGGTCATTTGGAACCTCTTCTCCTCGAGATTAAACATGTCCTCGGTGAGCTTCAAATGTTACTTGCATTTGAACTGGAAAACCAAAAGGATCTGTTGGGGGGAAAGAAAGCTATCGGAGAGTAAGAGTCCATTGGCATCTTTAAGACCAACAAAGTTTTATTCAAGGTGTGAGCTTTCGTGTGCGTGCACCTTGAACACACCTTGAACAAAACTTTGTTGGTCTTAAAGGTGCCACTGGACTCTTAACTTTGTTCTATTGCTTCGGACCAATATGGCTGCCCACCTTGATCTATCAGAGAGTAAGTTAAGATACTCAGCGCGCCCAGACTGTGCCGCCGCACTTTCTCAGACGTCTTTCAATAGTTTCTCCCAGTCTCTCTGCACCGGTCATTAGGTTTTCATTGTGTTTCCCAGGACATCTTGCCTCTAGAGAGAGATAGGATAAGGGCGGTGCCTCAGCCATAGAGCCTCTGCTTGGCATACAGAAGGTCCCGGGTTCAATCCCTGGCATCTCTAGTTAAGACGACCAGGCAGGAGATGACATGAAGGACCTCTACCTGAGACCCTGGAGAGCCGCTGCCAGTCTGAGTAGACAATACTGACCTGGATGGACCCTAAGGGTCCTCAGTAGAAGAAGAAGAGATTGGATTTATACCCCGTCCTTCACTACCCAAAGGAGTCTCAAGATCGGCTTACAAACTCCTTTCCCTTCCCCTCCCCACAACAGGCACCCTTGTGAGGTGGGTGGGGCTGAGAGAGCTCTGAGCGAGAACCACTCTTTTTCAAGAACAGCTGTGCCAGAACTATGGCTTGCCCAAGGTCATCCAGCAGCTGCAAGTGTCCGTGCACTTAACGACTACACCACTACAGAAGAAGAGGAGGAGGAGGAGGAGATTAGATTTGTACCCCGCCCTTCACTACCCAAAGGAGTCTCAGAGCGGCTTACAATCTCCTTTCCCTTCTCCTCCCCACAACAGTGGGGACACCCTGTGAGGTCAGTGGGACTGAGAGAGCTCTGACAGAAACGGTTCTTTTTCAAGAACAGCTGTGCCAGAACTATGGCTTGCCCAAGGTCATCCAGCAGGTGCAAGTGGAGGAGTGGGGAATCAAGCCCAGTTCTCCCAGATTAGAGTCCGTGCAATTAACCGCTACACCG